AGGAGGAGGATGAAGAGGGGATATGAAGCCGGTTCCAGACATATAAACGGCACACAGAGCGATCGAAGCGAGAAAACAGCTGAACCTGAATGGGGAAGATCTTGACGGCCACGTGTCGTTCATAATCTGGGCCTTCCAGACGCAGCCGAAGCGCCCGCTGGCCTTACCTCCAGCAGCTGCAGAGGCTTGAGACTCACCAAGGGGGAGCCGGGAGGAGGACCGGGATCCTGGAGGACACGGAGAGGAGAGCCGGGTTTGGTTTCATCACTATAGTTATAACATGCAGAATATCTTTGATTCTGCTGCATTCAATTACTCAAACGTGTCAGAGACTCTGAGACTCGCTGCACACTGGTGTCCTGTGAGAGGTCAGAAGATGATTAGCCGATTGCTTTGGCATCAAAGGTTAAAAATCATCAATCGCCATACTGATTTTACTAAGAACCTTCACCTGTAACTAAAGCTAGCGGGTAAATGAAGAGAAAAACAGGAATAAAATGGAAATACTCAAGTAAAAGTACCTTCAAGTTCTACTTAAATAGTGTACTTGAGTTAATATAGTTACATTTACACTTTTATCCACAGTGATAATAAATACTAGTTAGAGCTGTTGAAGAAGTAAGAGTTACAGAAACAGTGCAGTCAAAACAAGAAGTGCACGTCAGAGAGCACAGGAAGTGCACGTCAGGTGTTTTAAGAGGAAGTGGCGCCCCTGCTCTGAGTTACTTCAACAGCTACACTGGATGTAACGAACACGCAGTAAAACAGCTCACATATATTTCTGTCCCGCTGATGTTTATTGTTGGTATTTACTGGATGTGCTTTTGTTTCATTGTTGTTTGCAGCTGAGAGACAAACAGCTGCAGTACCAGCATCCCGCCCCCAGAGGGAGCCGTGACACCGTGTCACCACTTTCAAATGTAGACGTTCAACATGAGGTCAATGTTCCCTCCCTCCCTCCCTCCCTCCCTTCCTTCCTTCCTTCCTTCCTTCCCTCCCTCCCTCCCTCCTTTCCTTCCCCCTGCAGGATCATTAGTACTTTCCAGGGCTCTGACACCGACTCTGTATCTCAGTCCAAATATCTCCTAATTGATGATTCTCTCTTCTCACATTCAGCAGTTGGAGGCGGAGCAAAAGGAGGCGTGTTGCTGCAGCCTTTATGTCGGAGCTGGACTTCAGCAGTATTATCTGCATGCACGTCTAATTCAAAGACCAACAGTGTTGGAAACAGAGACCTGGTTAATAAAGGAGGGAGGTTTAGGGGGCGTGTACCTCCGTGAGGTCCACGTGTCCGTACGGAGGTTTCCGGTGTCGGTACATCCAGACGGCGGTGAGCAGAACGACGGACAGCATGGTGACGGGCAGCAGGCAGTAAACCATCACGTTTAACACGCCGACGCCGTGGGCGGGGCTTTGATCACTGACACACACAAACAAACATTTATTTATTATATTCAAATGCACAAATAAATGATTAGAAAAGATACGGAGGAAAGACGTGACACAAACTCACGCGGCCCGGTGGCGTCAGGCAGTGTGTGTGAACCTCTCGTTGCAGAAGTTTCCTTCGCAGCAGCAGAAGAAGACCTGAGGACTCTCCTCTGTGGCCACGCACTCCTGCCTGAGAGACGGAGAGAGGACCCGGTCAGACAGACAGACTAAGTTTTTTAAATGTTTTGCGTAATCGAGACAATCACTTGTGAGAAAAAGGAAATGAGTGTGTAAATATATATAAATAATTTGATAATGGATGAAAAAAAAGAGATTTATTGATGAGGTAGCAGCTTCTGCCGAGGAGATATTCAGCGTCTGAGCGAGATAAGAGAGACGGGGAGCTTTCTGACGTCTCGTTCATCAAGCAGCAGCTGGAGCTCGTCCAGCGTCGGTCCAGAGCCGCCCGCCTCCCTCCGCTACACCTTCAGGCGCAGCAGCAGCAGCAGGATCCTCCATCGCTCGCTCCCTCCCGCTCCTTCTCTCCTCCTCCCATCATCCTCTCCTGTCCGTCCTTCCAGGAACAGAACAAAGGGAGCGCTCGCTAATCCTGGTGACGACAGAGCAAAGCCTTCTGGGATACCAGGGCCGAGCCTGTCCTCACATGACCCCACACTTTCCCCTCATCTCTCTGTGAGGAGGACGAGGACCAGAAAGCCGGGCTGATACTAGTACTACAGATACTAGTACTGATACTAGTACTGATACTACTGCTGATACTAGTACTACAGATACTAGTACTACTGCTGATACTAGTACTACAGATACTAGTACTACTGCTGATACTAGTACTACAGATACTAGTATACTGCTGATACTAGTACTACAGATACTAGTACTACTGCTGATACTAGTACTACTGCTGATACTAGTACTGATACTACTGCTGATACTAGTACTGATACTACTGCGATACTAGTACTGATACTACTGCTGCTACTAGTACTGATACTGCTGCTACTAGTACTGATACTGCTGCTACTACTGATACTACTACCGCTACTGCTGATACTAGTACTGATACTGCTGCTACTACTGATACTGCTGCTACTACTGATACTACTACCGCTACTGCTGATACTAGTACCACTACCATACTGCTATACTACTACCCTGCAGGTACAACTTCTAGTATTAATACAACCAGCACTGCGTTCTTTTACTACTCAAACTACTACTATTGCTACGCTGCTGCTATCGGAGCTGCTGAGACCATCAGCTTCGACTTCCATCGCACTGCGGCGTCTTGTGGTGACAGATGCTTCCTGTCTTTATCTGCTGGGTAGTAATGTTAGCGTGAAGCTTCTCTGGCAGCTCTGGAGATCGGGTACGGTGAGCTCCGCTCCGTCCGTCTTCTTCGCCGTAGTCTAAACTGCCGAGGGAGTCTTACCGGCAGAGCTGCCAATCAGCCGGCGTCTGGGGAGCGCTGAGTAATCCAGCCGCCAGTCTGGCAGCAGGTTGACCCAATAGCAGGTTTGTTCCTGAAGCCTTGGAGGGAAATGCGCAGCCTCTCAGCTGTGTCGGGGGAAACGTCTTCAGCTCCTCGTTTTAAAAGAGACGTTTCTCTTCTAGTCTGGAACTGATCTTTCACGCCTGGTTATTGAGGAGAGCAGAAGTAGCAGCATCGTGTAAAGTGCTGCACTCCTCCGCGCTGCTGCCGGTCGCTTGTGAAGCTGCTGATCCATGAAACTGCAGCTCCTTCTGGACGGAGCACGAAATGTCTGAATGTGAATGTGCATGAAAAACTCTGACACTCGAGGAAAAACAGACGGAGGAGGATTCCTGCGATCTGCCCTGAACACATCCTTTCATGCAGCTCCGTTTGGGTCTTTTAGATGAACTTGTTATTAAAGCAGCTCTAAAATATGTTGAATCTTTGCTCTTCTCTTCTCGCTGTACTGGCAGGATGTTCTCCACGTGTACTCTGTAATACTTTCACTGTTTGCTGCCTTTGTGTGCTCTTGGAAATGTCAGAAATTGGAAGTTAATAACTTTGAAAACAAAAAAGACTTCAGGGAATCATTCTGACACGAGGACTTTATTTGTGAACGCTTTCTTCAGCTTTCTTCAGAAGCTTTAGCCATAAGGCTGATTAGACTGGACGTGGCTGTGGACTCGTCTCATTTCCACATCAAGTCCAAAGTCTGAAGAAGTGGAACATGGTGGCTTCAACATGACTGATTAATCTGCTTGTATGAAGTTGTACATTTGGAACATTTGTTCATGAAGCTGAAGACCTCTGATGCAGACGATGTCATCTGAAACATTTAGTGTGCGACATCCTCAAAGGTTTGTGATTCAGAAAACTCTGAAAATGACACTTTCTCTTCCAGAAATATCCAGAAACCAGATTACATGTTACTAGTTTTGTATTAGCTAATAAAATAAAGATAAAAACCAAATGACTGCTGCCACCACAGGCACAAACGTGCAGCAGGGTAAATAAGAAACCTCCCTCTGATTCTGCAGCACAGCATTGTGATGTGGTGCATTAGCCTGAGAGCTAACGGTCAGTAATGGATCAGGCTGAAGTTCTTTCTGCCCCTGATTCAGGGAAGGCTGAAAACCTGCAGGATTTATGACATCACGACTACTTTGGAGCCAATCAGGGCCCAGTGTGAAACCATAAACGTGATGTGGAAATGTGAACACTGAGTGTTTTCAGGGATGCAGGACACGTGTGTTGTACCGGTCGTAGCAGTTGAAGTCGTCCAGCCAGCAGCCTTTCTTCACCAGCTCGATGGAGCCCGAGTTGTTCCTCCAGGAGGCGTAGCAGTGCGAGCGCTTGTCCTTCTCGTCCTCGCAGCGCTCCAGCCCGCTCTGGTTGGTCTTCTCGATCTCGTAGTTGACGTTGTAGTACAAACACTCCCTGGTGTCGGCCTCCCCGTGGCTCAGCCCTGCAGAGACACAGACAGTCATAACACAGTCCTCGCCCTCCCCGCTGGAGGAAGTGAAGCTGCTGTAGGCCTCGAGGATGCCTCGGCAGCGACTATCAGAAACGCCATTAGTGCGTCATCACGCTTATCAAAGCAGGCAAAGAAGAAAGAGGAGGCATAATGAGACGACGGCAACAGGTGAGGAGCTCGTTCCCTCGCTAGCTCCACCTTTCACCTCTCCTTCACTTTTTCTGTCTCTCCTCCTCCCTCCATCTCACTTTTCAACACCCTCGCTCGCTCTTCTCCTCCTGAGACACAGGGAGAGAGAGAGAAGGAGGTGTTTTTCAGGTAACTGGAGCTTCAACACACACCGAGCTGCAGGAAGTTATGGCCGCCAGATGTGACCTTTGACCTCTGCGGTCACACAAGAACGAGGTCATCCCTCCTCTCTACACACCACTTCCTGCAGCGGCGCCGATGGTGTCGGCTTAAAACAAATAAAAAAACATCAACACGCCAAGGAACACGTGACGTCGCCTTCGTGTGTGCGTGTGACGTCGGTGATAATCTACAAAGTCACTGCACGATCACATACAAAGTACAATATCTCAGAGAAGTACAGCGCCTGAGTAAATGTACTTCACAGCCCTGAGGAACCGAGCAGGAAGAGAAGAAGAGACGGACGGTTTGAAACTGACTGAGGATGAAGATGAAGATGAGCAGACAGAGCAGGTTTGGCAGCGTTCATGGTGACAGATGTTACAGCCAATCTGTGCACGAATTGTTGCTAGGCAACCGGAATGTGGTAGTATTCACTGCCCCCCCTCCCCAGCTGTGAGCTGACAGTAGTACAGTAACAGTAAGTACTGCTTCTATAAGTGAGCTGAGTCCTGATCCATTACAGAGAACCAAGAGGGACCCGACTACAGTCTGAAGGTCAGAAAGGGGCCCGGGGTAATTCATGCATCTCAGTTTAGACCTGCTGCATGATGGGATCACTGACAATCACTAAGGTAGTACTGATGCCTACTACTAACTGTACTGCAGTAGTACTCTGTAGTACTCTAACATGCACACAGGAGTTCTGCAGTACTGTTAGCAGTTAGCGGTAGCTCATCAGTATTCTGGACGTCGACTGGTCACCATGGAGACCTGTGAGCCAATGGGCCGGGCAGCTGTCAGTGTGTGTGTTTCACTTGACATTTAGTCCAACTTCTTTTTTGATTAAAAAGCGAGTTAAAGAAAGTTCAGGAAGCCGAGACCACTTCTGTTGAAACAACACACACACGAACACACTAACATGTGTCGGCCTGTGAAAACCCTGCCTGCATTTAAACGGACAGTTCAGACCTATTAACATGAGGTGTAGGGTGGGGGGGGGGGGGGGGGGTACAGCAGAGTATCGCGATAGTTTCCGTGGCATCATCGTATCGATACACGGAGGTCAAGTATCGATCTTTTATTATATGAATTGTACATGAGAATTTTACTTTTTAGTACTAAAATAATGAACTCAGTTGCTTTTTCAGTCCACGAGAAGAAGAGCTTTTCTTTGGGGACACAATTTGAAGCAATGATATCGATCGTGACATAACTGTCGCGATAATATCGTATCGGGTCCTCTGGTGATTCCCACCCCTAATGAGGTGTCCCATGGTTCATCCTGTTTGTGTTTGGAGACACAACAACAAACAGTTCCATCCTGTTTCTTCTAACCTTCATTGAACTAAGAAGTCACATTTAGATCGAAACTTTTACAAGTGAGACCGAGTCAAGACAGCAGGCTCGATCAGATAACAACAACAACGTTAGGTACAACAATACAATACACGGTGTATATTGATTCTGCAGCCGGCTGGATTTACCAGTTCTGATCTGACAGCAGAAACTTTAACTGAAGCCAGCTGTTTGACCTGAGAGTATGACTGCTCAAAAGTTGTGATGAAATGTGGTTCAGACCTTTATGGTCCCTCGATGAACTGGGATAACTTTTCCTCCAGCGCCACCATCAGGTCAACACTTTGCTTTCTGAGCTGCAGAAACTAAAGACTTTCCCATCAGCCTCACGAGCTGCTAGCTGAAACCATCCCTTGTTCCTTTAAAAAGTGCAGGTCCAGTTC